GCTCATCATCAATAAGTACGCGATAATCTCTCATTTAACTTGTTATATATACAAATGAAATTATATATCTGAATCATCGTAAAAGGTCTAAATATACCACTTTTATTTGTCAGGTCGCGACCATCAATGGACCACAAGTTGGTGGTTGCAATTTAAGGTTTTGCTTGGTAGAGGACTTAAAGAAAGAAAACATGAAGCCTACTCTGGTCTAAGAATTTTCCAAGTGATGTCTGTTTCATTTCTATCTGGACTCTTATGGTGGCATTGTAATACTAATCATATAATGGATCAGGTAATGTTCAAAATTTCCTATATAGCCATTCTATGGTTATTTTATTAGGTTATGAATTGTGTGGTCGTCTTATCTAAAAGGTTGATCAGTTAGAAATAATATATTTTATTTATTTTATTATATTTTTAACACGCACACGTGATGGGATTTTCTTTCATGGGCTAACTGTGAGACTTGAATTCCGCCTCAAATGTCATGTTAAATTATGTTACATTTTTATTTATTTATGTTTTTTCAATATACAAAAATTCCTAACAAGGTGATTGTATCCAACAGGTGGGATTACTATTTTTCTTCTCAATATTTTGGGGATTTTTCCCTCTCTTTAGTGCCATATTTGCATTCCCACAAGAGCGTCCAATGCTCATAAGAGAGCGTTCATCCGGCATGTATCGCCTTTCGTCTTACTACTTTGCACGAAGCGTGGGTGATTTACCTATGGAACTTGTACTTCCAACAATCTTCGTAACAGTAACATACTGGATGGGTGGTCTAAAGCCAAAATTTCTCACGTTCATATTGACCCTTTTGATCATACTTTTAAATGTGCTAGTGTCTCAAGGAATTGGCCTAGCACTTGGTGCAATACTAATGGATGTGAAACAAGCCACAACATTATCTTCAGTGTTGATGCTTGTGTTTTTGCTAGCAAGTGGATACTACATTCAACATATTCCTATTTTCATTGATTGGCTCAAGTACATCTCATTTAGCCACTATTGTTACAAACTTCTACTTGGAGTACAATATTCAAGAAATGAGGTTTATGAATGTGGAATTGGGAAATATTGTGAAGTTTTGGAATTTCCACCTATTAAGTATCTTGGAATTGACAATTTGGTACTTGATGTGGTGGCATTGGTTGTTATGTTGGTGGTGTATAGGCTATTGGCTTATGTTGCTTTGAGGTTGTGGCATCAATGACTAAAGTGAGTGTGTGTGAGAGAGAGAGACTTTTGAATTAGACAAGATTTAATTTATATTATTTTCTTGAAGTTTATTAAATAAAATATTAACAAGTATAATTATAAACCTTAGACAAGAAAATTTGTTGCTATGAAATGTGAATTGTGCTATATATATACAAACTATTATTGTTTATTGTCTTTGCTTCTTCTTTCATGTTTTTAACTTTTCCGTAGGAGCTTCGATCCTTTTCTTTCTCTTGAATTTCAATCAACAGATTCAAGATCGAATATAGAGGATATTTATCGTTCAATCCTATTTGATCTATTAGAGCTTCGAACTAACATATTTAAGATTGAAAATGAAGAATGCTTACCATATGAGTAATCTGATTAGAAAGATTTTTTTAAAAAAAATTATGCTTAGTGATTTAAAGGAATGTCAATGGTGTTATTAATTATGCCCCTAATTGATGTGATAGAAATTAGAAAAAGTGGCAAAGTATCTTATTCTTGAATGACATGAGTAGAACCTAACTTTGATGTCTTTATAGAAAATTAAAAAAAAATAAAAATAGAAATACATAATATCTACTAATTTCTTAATTATAGTGCATCCCTTTATCTTTCATATCGACCAAGGATTGCCACAATTAATTTTTATGGAACATCGTAGATGTGCATCCAACTATATATGTCGTGTTTGTACGATACAAAATATTATTTTTTTTAAATAATTGGTTAAATATTTTGAAAATAAATTTATCTAAAAAGGTAAGTTTTTTAAAAATGAAGGAAATGATCGACTTTTCTAGTGAAAACTATACGGTAAAAAAATTTTATATATGATATTCCAGATTACTAGTATTTTTCCTTTTCAACACATCTCATCTTCAAAATACTGTTAGGATATATTTTTTTACGTACTTATTAAACACAAACAAATAAGTAAAAACCCCACTTATTTTTGAACACTCACCCTTCCAAGTTAATGTTTTTTTTTATCCTTTTATTAGTGAGTTTCATTAATGGAAGAAAAACATTTAATTACATAAGTTTGTCCTTTAAATAAGTTGATCCTTAATTTATATATGTTCTTCAAATGAGTTGATTGTTAATTTTTTTTTTATCAGTCGAACTTATACGATATCATAATGCAAACATATAAATTTATGTCCTGAAAAAATAAGAGTTTTTATCGTAAGAAATAAAAATTAAAGACCAACACAAAGTATGAATGACCCAAAGATAAGCTTAGGTCCCCAAAGATTCAAACATCACTCTTTTTCACTTTATATGAATATCGCTGATTGTAACATTTGTAAATGAAATTGATAAATGAATAGAAAAATACTAGTTTTAAATAATTGATATTGCATGTCTTAAAAAGACAAACTATTGGATATTAGAAATGAAAAATCAAATTGACGAAATGATAATTGAAGATTCATATCGTCGATTTCAATTATCGAGTATCACATCGTCCATTATTATTCAATGGACATCTAAATAAACCCATTGGGCCACTTTTTCATATCAAGCTAAGGTTTTTGACTCAAATAAGGCCCAAAAGCCCCATTAGGCAGTTCGTAGCCTTAAAAATGGTTTGATTTTGATATTTTATTGTAAGTAAGAAAAGTTTTATAAAAATAACCTTTATGAGAGCAAAAAGGAAAAATTACATAAATTAATATATTTTAAAAAATAATTACTAATTTTAGCGATATTTTTTATTTCTATTTATAGCAATACTGTGATAAATCTGTAATGTGTATTAAAAGTGAATTATGTATGCAATATATTTGAATTATAATTGTTTTTGAAATATATTATGTTTGTTTAGTAAAAAATTATCACATTATATTATAAATGTATTAAAATATGCGATAAGTGTGTTATCCATCATTAAAACTTGTATTACATGTGAATAATAAATTGTTCTTTGTAATATGTAATAAACTTGTATTATAAATGAATTAAAAGTGGATAAATGAAAAAAATATTATTGCCATAAATGGTAAAATAATTTTTTATCATAGTATATTTATGTAAATTTCCCGAGAAAAAATGATATGATACGAAAGCCTAAAGATTTTATAATAGTAATATATCTATAGAAGGTAATTATGAACAGAAGTGCAATATACTTATGTATACTATTAATGTATACAAATAAGATATAAGTAATGTATATGTATTTGCCATGTAACAATCAATGTATATAAAAAAAATTAATCAAATACAATAAGTGTACATCAACTAAATAAACATGCTAAATAAAAATATATACAAAAACAAATTGCAAGTATTTAACCAATGATAATCCACTAATTCGAAATAATTATTTACTAGTTTTAAGGAGAAATAAAAAAAATTAGAGAAATAATTGAAAGTTAGAAGAAAGATGATGAGTAGTATTAAACATTTTTTTAGTGTTTCAAAAATAATTTTAAAATGTCGATAAATTACTTTTGGGTCAATATGTATCAAGTTTTTATTTGTCTATTAATTGCTAATTAAAATTAAGCTATATTATACTTATATGTAATAGTTGTATATATTTGTCAATTCTCGAATAAGAAATGGTGATATTTCGACCTAGCTAAACATTTTTGTTTTAAAAAAAATAGTCTTCTTTTAAGAGAATTCAAACTTTATTAATAAAATAGAGGTTCAAGACATTTTAAAATAATAAATAACATGTTCGATCAATTGACCCAAAGTTTTATCGATCAAACATAAGTTTTAGTTTTTTTCAATAAAACAAATGTTCCTGATATTTCAAAATAGTGAATTGGCACAGGTTTCATATTAGTAATATTATAATAGGATATATGTTGATTTTCGCACATATATATGTCTTTAACTTCAGGTGTTCATAAATAGATACATACGTATATATGTATTATGTTACGTAAGATGCATGTGATATATATATATGTTTAACTTTATATAAGTTTGAATATTTATTTATGATATTCAAATTTAAAAAACATAAATATTAATTGCGATCAAATTGAATAACACATTTATGTATTATGCTATTACGATATTTGCCAACTGATATATTCCAAATATCCTTACTACTTGGAACTGAAAAAAGGAATTTCCTGTGAAGTCTATATTATACCAAGAATTTTTTGTAATATCCAAAAGAACAACATAAATCCTTTAGCATTTGTCCTTAAATAATGCAAAATAAAGAAAATCATATGCCTTCCAATTTTTTTTTTACTTTTTGCTCAATGATAGAGTTTTTTATTAGTATCCGGTTAAATTTGAATTCGTGATAAAAATTAAGGGGCAGCATTATATTATGGGTAACGTGTTTTCTAAAAAAGGTGATTTTATATCGTAAAATCAAATTCGATACCTTTAATGAAGACGTCGATAATGTATTTATCTCTCCCGCGGGTGTTAGATTTCACCAAGGGACATGATAATATGAATAAGCAAATACACAAACTAGCCAAGATAATTCAACATCTACAAAACCTTAGTCAAGAATGTCGATAATAAATGCACTGAAGTCAAGATTTTCACTAAGGAATATGATAATATGAATAAGCAAATAAACAAACTAGCGAAGAGAATTAAACATGCATCTACAAAACCTCTAGTCAAGGACATCAATAATGTATTTATCACTCCGGTGGATAGTCAAGATTTTCACTAAAGAATATAATGATATAAAAAAGCAAATACGCAAACTAGCTAAAAGAATTCAATATCTACAAATTTATTCATATATATATATATATATATATATATATATATTATCCTATCTGACTCCGGCCCGATACTCATCTACCACAATTGGTGAAAATTATATGCCTTGTATATCTAAAGCATCTGATGCTAAAATTCTCAAGTCTCAGATTGGACTTGTGACATGATATTCATGTTATTATTATTCCCATTTCACAAGATGTTATTATTATTATTATTAATATATTCCCACTTATGTGTAACATGACTATAAATATTAGAGTACATTGAGGCAACTAGAAACTCAGACCCAAATTAAAATATTTCTTGTGTTGTTCACAATTAAAATGGCATCAATGAAAGCTGAGAAACCAGTTGGTACTCAACCATCTACCTCTACAATCAAGAAACCATCAACTAAGGCTCCTCCTACTTCCAAATCCGCCCCGAAAAAGGCTCGCGAACCTAAGAAAAAAGTCGATCAATATTTCTAATTTTAAGTTTTTATAGATACGTTGATTGTGTGAATAATATTTAGACAATTTATATTTATTTTAACGTGTTACACGTACCAAGTAATCTGTCTTATTTTGACGTGTTCCTAGCTCCTTTTGTTTCAAAGTCTATATATATAAAAAAAAAAGTCACATTTCTATATTTTTTTAAAATGACCAAATTTTACCATTTTAACCTTAATGATAATATTATTCATAAGGCTATATAAATGTTAGGTCTTGTTTTAAAGTATAAATCTTAACGGTCTTTCTTTTTTTCTTCAATTCTCCATCTAATTTATCGATATTGGACGGACAAAGTACTCACTGTGTTCACTTTTACTTGTCTACTATTTCAAAATAAATATCATTTTAACATATATAGAAAAAATAATTGTTATTTTTTTCGTTTACCCTCAATATTAGTTACTTATTCACAAATTATTTCTCAAAATCTTAGACTATACTTCAATTAATATGAATATTGTAGCAAGCAGTGGCGGAGCCAGAAATTTCTTAAAGGTGTTCAAAAATAGCAACTTGTTATGTTAAGGGTGTTCAAAATAGGTTATTTAATCATTTCGCATATCATTTTACTTGTATATATTCAATTGGAAACCCTTAACACTATGTGGCTACGCCACTGGTAGCAAGATACTGATATTATTATATCTTAAGAGACGTGCACAATTGAAATGACCTAATAAAAATGAACAGAGGGAGTATTATCTTACTTTTTATGCAAATTATCAGACCGGTCTATAATTTTTCCAAATAATAATATTTTCTTAGAAGAAAATAAATGTATACATTGTTTTTTTTATAAATTAATATTATTTCGTGTAAATAATACAGTTTAATTTTTTTTTGTTTAGGCATCAGGTAGCAAGGCAGGTGGAAAGAAATAAGAAGAAGAAGAAGTTGGAGTAATTAATTAGAGTATGATGAAGAATATATTTGTCGATGTTTAAAATTATGAGTGATGTACTTTCTTCTCTTAATGAAATAATCTCATACTCTTTACCTTTAAAATTGTTTCTTTAAATGTTAAAATAATTTTAAAATATATCGTTCTAATAATAATAAAGTAAATTAATAAAAAGTAAAAGCTATGTTGCTCATATATCCTCTAAAAACATTATCGCATTCGTATCAAATCCTTGAGAGATGAAAATCGTCAATGAGGTAGAATATTAATAGTAAACCATGAGTTTTTAAATTTTTTAAAAAAAATTTAAAATCAAATCACATATGTATATATATGTATATTCCATTTATATCTCTCATGTATATCCTTGTATATTAGTGTATACTTATGTGTGATATCGATATAGACGAATATGCAGTAACATATAGGCGTTACATATGTCTCAAATCTCAATAATGTTTTAAAACTTGGTTTGAACTATGATTTAGACTCTAATTCACCTCTAATCATTCTCATATTGTATATTAATTTATATGTGTTTTTAACAAATTTCGATCATACTCAATAAAAAACAACTAACATAAACAGGTTGGATGAATTGAGCGGATTGGAATTGATTTTGCTAGCCTACATTTATATGTCTTTTAATATCTAATGACTTCAATTTCTTAAAATAAATATAGAGTTTATACAAAGCTATTGAGTTCTCAGAAACATAGCTCAGATATATTATCGTAGACCCTCTTTGATATTAAATTCACTACCTAAATTAATATGACATGTAGAAATTATGTCTAACAAAGGTAGCTAGGTAATAGTATGTGTGTGGCCATAGCTAGCAAACATAGGACTATAGGAGGAACTCTTTGTCTTCTTAATTCTTTCGTGGGTAAAGATTTCAACACATTTTATTAGTATGCATACCTATAACCGCTAAAAGCTCTTTTATTACAGTGATTGCTGTCACGACCCAAATCCGGACCGCGACTGGCACCCACACTTACCCTCCTATGTGAGCGAACCAACCAATCTAAACCTTAACATTTCAATGAAATAACAACAGAAAGTAATGCGGAAGACTTAAACTCATTAATAAAAACCAATTCAATAACTATCAATATTCAACATCTACTATTCCCAAAACCTGGAAGTCATCATCACAAGAACATCTACGATCAAATGACTAAACTAAGAGTATCCTAAAAGCTAAAAATACAACAGAAGCTAGTCCATGCCGGAAGTTCAAGGCATCAAGACTTGAAGAAGAAGATCCAGTCCAAGCTAGAAGCATTAGCTCACCCTGAATTTCCGATGTAGTAAGACTGGCTTGAGTTACTGTTGAGTCGAAGATGACGGCACGTTTGCTGCACTCCACAAATAAACAAGAAGAAAACA